GGTGTGTGTGTGGGTGCGTGCGTGGGTGCGTGGGTGCGTGGGTGCGTGGGTGCGTGGGTGCGTGGGTGCGTGGGTGCGTGGGTGCGTGGGTGCGTGGGTGCGTGGGTGCGTGGGTGCGTGGGTGCGTGGGTGCGTGGGTGCGTGGGTGCGTGGGTGTGTGGGTGTGTGGGTGTGTGGGTGTGTGTGTGGGTGTGTGTGTGGGTGTGTGTGGGGGTGTGTGTGGGGGTGTGTGTGGGGGTGTGTGTGGGGGTGTGTGTGGGGGTGTGTGTGGGGGTGTGTGTGTGGGTGTGTGTGTGTGGGTGTGTGTGTGTGTGGGTGTGTGGGTGTGTCGGTGGGTGCGTGGGTGCGTGGGTGCGTGGGTGCGTGGGTGCGTGGGTGCGTGGGTGCGTGGGTGCGTGGGTGCGTGGGTGCGTGGGTGCGTGGGTGCGTGGGTGCGTGGGTGCGTGGGTGCGTGCGTGCGTGCGTGCGTGCGTGCGTGCGTGCGTGCGTGCGTGCGTGCGTGGGTGGGTGGGTGGGTGGGTGGGTGGGTGGGTGCGTGGGTGCGTGGGTGCGTGTGTGGGTGTGTGGGTGTGTGGGTGTGTGGGTGTGTGGGTGTGTGGGTGTGTGGGTGTGGGTGTGGGTGTGGGTGTGGGTGTGGGTGTGTGTGTGTGAGTGTGTGTGTGTGTGTTTTGTGTTTTGTGCGTTTCCGGCCTGCCTGCCTGCCTGCCTGCCTGCCTGCCTGCCTGCCTGCCTGCCTGCCTGCCTGACAAATCCTCGTGAACAGTGAACAATGCGATTTTAGCTGCCCACAACGAACAATGAGAGGGCTGCCGTTGAACAATCCGATATTCTGGGTCAAGCTGCCGTGGCTGTCATTCAAGGACTGCGTCAGGAAGTCCCGGAATGTTGGTCCAAGGGCTGCATGGAAGGCCTCATCAAAACGATGGCCATGCTAATGTATTTTGAAGGTGTGCTGCGGATGACCTCATCGCTGCTCGTGCCGGACTGCCGCAGTCCGTAGATTGAACTACGGCATTCGCCAAAGAACTGAGATACAGAATGGCAAAAACGAAGGGATGCCTGCAAACGCGCAAGGCGGGAAGTCCAGCTGATGGGATTGGGCTTTGGCGGGGCATGTAGCGGCTATGTAGTGGCTATGTAGCGGGCGGGGCGCCTGCCTGAATCCGTTGCAAGAACAAGTTGCAGGTGTGCTGCGGTATCGTGTTTGTCCGCACACTTACCGGAGCCCGACTGGTAGTTGCAATCGCTATACTAGTCGGACCAACACTAGTAGTGGCAGCACTAGTAGCAGTAGTAGCAACAGCACTAGTAGCAGTAGCAGTGGTAGTAGCAGCAGCGAGTGGCAGTACTCATCGTCGTAGTCGTCGTCGCACCCGTAGTGGTAGTGGCAGTGGCAGTGGCAGTGGCAGTGGTAGTGGCAGTGGTAGTGGCAGGAGTTTGCCGTAGGAGTAGTAGTAGTAGTAGTAGTAGTAGTAGTAGTAGTAGCAGCAGCAGCAGCAGCAGCAGTAGTGATAGTAGCAGCATTAGTAGAAGTAGAAGTAGAAATAGTAGTAATAGTTGTAGTCGTAGTCGTAGTAGTAGTAGTACCAGTAATAGGGTCAGTAGTAGTAGCAGCAGCAGTAATAGTACTAGTAGTAGTAGTAATAATAGTAGTAGTAGCAGGGGTAGTAAAAGTGGTAGAAACGGAGTGCAAGTAGTACAAGTCCTACGAGTAGTAGAAATAATAGAGATAGTACAAGTTGTAGAACTAGAACAAGACAAGTAACACAAGTTGGACAAGTACTACAAATCGTATAACAAGTAGCGCAAGTGGTGCAGTGTACGACAAGTACAATAAGTAGCGCAAGTGGTGCAGTGGCTCAAACAGGTGCTACTAACGCAAGTAGTAATACACATAGCACAAATAGTACAAGTTGGGCATGTAGTACAAGTAGCACGAGCAGCACAGGCAGCGCACGTAGAACAAGTAGTACTAGAAGGAGGAGGAGGAGCAGGAGGAGCAGGAGCGGTGGTAGTAGTAGTAGTCGTAGTAGTAGCAGGAGCAGTAGGAGTAGGAGTAGTGGTAGTAGCAGCAGCAGCAGCAGTAGTAGAAGTAGTAGTAGTGGCAGTAGAAGTGGTAGTAGTAGCAGTAGTTGTACAAAGCGGTAGTAGCAAATGTGGTAGCAAATGTGGTAGTGTTGTCACTCAGGCCCCAGGGTTATGAAATTAATATGTATTTATGCAAAGAAATATGATGTAAAAAGGTATGTTCAAGGACCGGGGGCCTTGCGGCTTGAGTTCCACTCTGGGGCCGACCATCTTTACAGAAACGACAAAAACGGCGACCATGCTCCACAGGCTTTAAAGCCCGGCCTCGGCTCCTTGGATCGCCAGGCCGCCAATCTGCACCCGGCAATTTCGCCACTCAGGCTGCTCTCTGCATAGCGCTTTCGCCGAACAGGCGCACTGCAGCAGGCACGCCAAAAGAACAAGGAACATCCGGGCGTCCGAGCCGAAAACC